ATCATTTCCGACATTTCCCCTCAACACACCTGGTCATAACGGAAGTTCTTCTATGTCTCAAGGCATGAAACAGGATCCACAACAGAGTCTAGACCAGCCATGGGCAAACTACGGCCCGTTGGTCGGATCGGGCCCGCGGGCCATAGTTTGCCCAGGGCTGCTCTAGACCATCCTGCAGATCGCGAACAATGAAAATACATCCTGCATATCAGATATTTACATTGCGAGTCACAGTAGCAAAATTACAGTTATGAAGTAGCAACGAAAATAATTTTATGCTTGGGGGTCACCACAACATGAGGGACTATATTAAAGTGTCACGACATTGGGAAGGTTGAGAACCACTGGGAGAATAAACACCACAAAGGAGGCCAAGCAGCTGCTACACATCCAGCACCAAACTGCCCTGAAGAAATAGAACCTGAGAGCTCTGTCTGTGTCACTCTAGTTCATGCTTCTTGTTCCCAGGATCCCTCACAGACACTCCTCTCTCCCCAACACTTGGTGCACTGGCTCCAGGCTCACACTCTTGTCTTAGTTTATCCTCTGATCAATTTGTAAGGAAACAGCGTCACATGGGACTTCTGGTCTCCTGAACATGAACCTCCTGCAACAAATAAGGACTTTAAGAGCTGAAGGAAAATTGAGTGGCCATCAAGGTTGAATTCTAAACTAACTGAAAATATATTTCAAAACTGAAATAATCCATGCTGGCGTGGCACAGTGGTTGAGCTTCAACCTATGATTCCATTCCTGATCAGGGCACATACCTGGGTTGTGGGCTTCATTCCCAGTAGTGACCATGCAAGAGGCAGCCGATAAATGATTCCCTTTCATCATTGGTGTTTCTCTCTGTCTCTCCCTCTCCCTTCCTCTCTTAAATCTATAAAATACATATTAAAACAAATTAATGACAAGGTTGTGGGTTTGATTCCCGGTCTTGGCAGATATGGGAGGCAAATGATAAATATGTTCCCCGCCATCAATGTTTCTCTATTTCTCACCATCTTTCTCTGTTCAATATTTCTATCTCATATCAATGTTTCTCTCTCTCTCCTTTTCATTTCTCTAAAAATCAATGAAAATATCCTCAAGTAAGAAAAAAAGAAAGCAATCTTTATATCAATACTATATCTATACCTATGAATACATTTCCAGTCAAACTATGCATATATCTAAGTCAATATCTATAACTATATCTATATCTATCTATCTATCTATCTATCTATCTCTATCTATATCTATATATCTCTGGAACAAGAGGCACACTGATGTTATCCTGAAGGAGTCACTGACTGTTCCCACATCCTACTTCCTGACCACCTCCTGCAGCACAGCCCCTGGTGTGGAAGAAGAGGTCCCTTGGCACGATGACCAGGACCCCAAGGAGGGCCTGGTTCTCTGAGGGCACATCTCCTTCCAGAAGAAGCCCCAGAAACCAAGACCTCCCTCACCTCTTCCTCTTTGTATGTGAGGACACCTCCCATATGCAAATGCCAATAGAGGCCACCAGAAACAGACACAGTTGGCATCCACTTAAATGCAGGGCCTCCTCACCCTGGAGAATACTTCCTGGGGGACGAGGACCTCACCTGCAAGACATGACTCCCATGTGGCTCTTCCTCTTCCTGCTGTCAGCTCCCAGATGTGAGTGACTCAGGGCTTAGATGTGAGGAGATGGGGACACTGCATCTGAGACCAGGACTCACCGTGTTCTCTCTGTCCCAGGTGTCCAGTCCAAGGTGCAGCTGCAGGAGTTGGGACCAGGACTGGTGAAGCCCTCGCAGACCCTCTCCCTCACCTGCACTCTGTCTGGGGGCTCAGTCACCAGCAGTTACTGGTGGAGCTGGATCCGCCAGCCCCCAGGGAAGGGGCTGGAGTGGATTGGGGGCATATGGCATGATGGAGACACTAACTACAGCCCCTTGCTCAAGAGTCGAACACCATCTCCATAGACACGTCCAAGAACCTGTTCTCCCTGCAGCTGAGCTCCGTGACAACTGAGGACATGTCCGTGTATTACTGTGCCAGACACACAGTGAGGGAAAGTCAATGTGAGCCCAGACACAAACCTCCCTTAGTAGACAGCAGGGCTGGGCTGCAGGGGGCACTCAGGACACCAGGGGGAGCTCAGGACCACAGACATGAGGACCAGCTCAAGAGCTGGGACTTGGGGGATAAAATCTCTGATGACCTGGTCAGTGGTTTTATTCTTCAGGAGTTAACAGCCTCCTCAAGGACTCACTGCCTCCCAGCTTTATGCCTTATGTTTCCTTTCACACCACCCCTTGGAGGAAGTCACTTACTTCCTCTGCCCCATTGATCAGTCAGAAGAAGCCCTTAATGTGTCCTTTGGTCCCTCCTCCAGGAAACATTGCCCTGCTAAGGAGGCCATTGGGGACGTCGTTGGGCACTGACCAGAAAGACGTTACTGCAGCCCCAGCAACC